TAGATAAATGTCATTATTTTTAAGATGTATGTACCAAAATATTTAGGAATGAAATGCCATAATGCCTGCAACTTATTTTCAGTGGGTCCAGAAAAAAGAGCAAAATGAAATAAACTTGGTAATAATGGTTGGTGAATCCAGTTGTGAGTGTATGAGTGTTCTCTGTACTATTCTTTCAGCTTCTCTGTAGGTCTGACATTCTTCAAAATAAAAAGAAAACACTGCATAAATATTTATTTATTTATTTATTTACTCAGAATCTACAACTTGAGCCACTCCACCAGTCCTGTTTTGTATTGGGTTTTTTCAAGATAGGGTCTCACGAACCATTTGCCAGGGCTGGCTTCGAACTGCGATCCTCCTGATCTCTGCCTCTTGAGTAGCTGGGATTACAGACGTGAGCCACCCATGCCCAGTCCATAAATATTTTTTAAACAGGGATGTGAACAGGGCAGGAGACCCTCCCAAATAGAGAGAACAGCACAAGCAAAGGCGAAGAGCTGGAAAATGTGTTTTCAAGGAGTGTCAGGGGAGTAGTCTTATTTGAGCAGAAGGTATGACTTAGGATGTCCTCGTAGATAAAGCCAGAAAGGCAGGCTGGTGCCAGCTTGGGAAAGGCCCTGAGCAAAGAACAGTCTATGGCACTTGGTGGGCAGTGGAAAGCACCCCCAAATGATTAGACATGGAATAACACACATGAAGTGATGTAATACTGCTCAAAGAGCCATCCAGTTGTGTGGCTCTGGGCGGGCAGAAGGGCATAACCAGCTAGAAGGCCATTACAGTAGTGGAGCATGGGAATAGGAACTGGGGCAGGTGGAGGAAGTGGGAACACATGGCAGCTATTTGGTGAAGGACCATCAGAATTGGATAACGGATAAGTGTGGAAAGTAAGTTGTCACCCTGAGGCTCACATCTCGCTGTAAGGGACACAGGAATGAGGAGTTCAGGACTCAGAAATGGGCTGCAAGAAAAGAGAATGAGTTTAGTTTTATGCCAATTGTCCTGTCAAAGGAGCCATCACAGTTGATCGACCTCCAACAGGGGTCCAACTTGAAACAGCCTCACCTAGCCCTACAACCTATTCCCGGGGACCATGAGGCCCACAGCTACCACAGGCTCTTGGTGCCTTTGGTTCCCTTCAACCATGTAGTTCCTGGTCTTCTTGCCTTACTCTCCTCTCTTATTTGAGTCCTTTCTTCTTCGTGAGAGGAGTGAAATTAAGAGTATCTACCTAAGAGCACAAGTCCTGCAGCACGCAAGCCAACATGGCCTTTCTTAGAGGCTCAGGTGCAGAGACTAGGCAAGGGCACGTGTGCCTGTGCTCGGGAGCTATTGCTGGCTCTGCTTAGAGGGAAGAGAAGAGGGAGAGAGGAAAGATGACTACATAGGGCTGAGGTGGAGGATGAGGCTGGGGCGTGTGAGTGAACGGGGACCACCAGTAGTTGGTGCTGCGGGCCTCACTCTGGACCTCACTCTAGGCCAGCCCCAGTCACACACAGGATACTTAGCAGTGTCTGGATTGGGACCTCTGCTTACCAGCCCAGGCATTCCTTTGACCCCAGAATAAATCCATCTGTTGACCCAAGTTGCTTAATCTGTCCCCATGGCACTCAATGTCCTTTCTTTCTTTTTCTTTTCTTTCTTTTTTTTTTTGTGGTCCTGGTGCTTGAACTCACGGCCTTCACCTTGAGCCACTCTACCAGCCCTATGTTTGTGAAGGGTTTTTCGAGATAGGGTCTCGCAGAACTATTTACCACAATCCTCCTGATTTCTGCCTCCTGAGTAGCTAGGATTACAGGTGTGAGCCACTGGTGCCCGGCTCCAACATCCTATATCCAAGTGATGAAAAGAAGAGTCTCAGGGTGGCAGGACCTTCTGAGGAGGTAGCGTTCAGCCCTGCATCGAAGCATTTGGGATAATGAAGTCACTGAACGTGGACAGTTGCTGGAAGAAGCATCTACCTGGGCCACCAGTGAAGGATGGGTGTGGAGAGGGCCTTGCCAGGATGGGAGTCAGTCCACCAAGCCAAGATGTGCTGCCTAGGGACACAGGCAGGGCTATCCTCACGAAGGCACTCAGTTCCAAGCCTCCTCAGGCTAGATGAAAATAAAGCATGCAGGACACATATAATCAGCTCCCTGTTATCACCCTAGCCTCTCTCAACCAGGTCTGGCGCCACCCCACAGCTGTCCCTGGCTTGAGGTAGGCCAGAGTGGGACCTTGCTTCAGCCTGGGTTTGTACCTTCTGTGTCTTTCCCTGTCACTCTCATCCCCACACCTGCTGAGCTCTGCCAGGGGTGCTAGTGGGGTGGGATGTAGCATTCCTACCCAGGTCAATCTCACCAGGCAAACTTTTACTACAGCTTACCTGTTCTTGCTCCTCTAGTCCCCATACAGAATCCTCTAAAGTATCCCAGCTATCCAGGGATAGATCTGACAGAGTCAAAGACAGGAGTAATGGTTTTGGGTGTAACCTGCCATCATAAGAACAGTCTGCATTTAGCAAAGGCATGATAGAGATTCTCCTCTAATCTGTTTAGTGACAGATACTGGGCTCTGCTGGACAGCTGTGGAAAATGGGCTAGAAATTCTGGCTGAAATGGTTGCTGTAGTTTCTGGTTACCTGAAGATGTGACCTCCCCAGTAGGTAGATGCCATCTATCCCTTCAGCAATAACAGAGGCAGGAAAGACCCCTGGTCTCACTGCATTCATTTAGTGCTTTGACCTATAACCTAACACTCAGACCCTCAAATTGAAAGGTGACAATCATAATATAAGACCTTCCTGCTGCTGCTGGGATCAAATGAGATTCCACATAAAAGACAATGCTTTAAAAGAAAAAAAAAAAAGACGACAAACAAAAAAAAAAAGGAAAAAAAGGGCAGAGCTTTGTAAATGGTAAAGGACCATCACGCGCTTGAAGGCAGCTGATGAGACCTCTGTGGTAGAAACTGAGCTGTTATGACTTCCTCCTTAGCACTGGGCTGCAGTCACCAGGAGTCACATGACTGCTTAGCTGCAAAGAAATCCCAGCATGCCTTGCAGGCACTTACCTGCAGCCAGTGGTGTGGGAGCAAACTGCCAAGGCAGAACAAAGAATGAGGGGAGGGCTCTGGTTGCAAGCAAGGGCCATCAGAAAGAGGGTAAGAGCTCTCCTTGACTTGTATCTGCAGAAAACGGAGCACTTGAGGCTCCTGAGAAGTCCAGTACTACTTCATATCTAGGGACAAAAACAGCAGTTAGTTGTGTTCTCTCCTCTCTCTGGTTGTACCCTTCCCCCATTTCCCCTATTTTGAAGGTAATTGCACCACTGAACAAGAGGATTCTGGGAGAATCCACACCTTTGAGGACGTAAGTGCTCCCAATCCTTGAGCCATTTTCCTTTCAATCTTCTCTACTTGTGCCCTCCTTAAGAGACGTTCCATTTCAGGTCACTGGACACCTGTCTCTGAAGGGTTGACTTCAGTGCTAGCTTCTGGGCAGGCCTGGAGAAGGGTAGGACCCCAGAAGTCAGCATAAAGATGGAGATGCTGAAATCAACTTCATTCCTTTGCAGGAGTTACAGACCTCGGTAATCTGCTGGTGTGGTGAATACAGTTTTCTACTACCAGATGGGAAAGAAGCGTCCCCGGGGAGGAGTAGGCCATAGAAAAAGAGAGCCAAAAATGGATATGAGCCAAAGAAGTACCCACACTGGTCCTCAAGACTGCTTCCTGATCCTAGGCTCCAGTTTCCTCCCTTGCACTTCTTTATCTCAGCTCCACGAAGGGCGTCCACAAACCCTCCTATCCATTTATGAGATCTGGCTCATTGGACTTTCAGTTGGCTAGGAGTGTGTTAAGCATGCCAACAGTCTGTCCCTTACTTCATAATCGTCTGCTCGTTTACATTCATCCTATAGGAGTGGTTGTAAGAGGGCATGTGTTCCCTGTGCAGGAAACTTATAGCCTCTACTCATTCACTAATATACCCTGCGTGTCAACCATGACCCAAGCAGGAAGTAAAACACTGACCAAAACCCAATCCCTGCCTTCTAGGACCTCGCCATCTAGTTAGGGCTCCAAGTATGTCATTTAAGAACGGTGCCCAGAGGCTGGTGTGGTGGCTCACGCCTGTAATCCTAGCTACTCAGGAGGCAGAGATCAGAATCTCAAAGGACACGAGAACTCCCCTGCAAGCCCGCATTGTACGGGGTGGGGGACGAGGGAGTGGTGGGCTCTGATAATCGAGGGGACGAGAGTCCATCAGAGGCTAGTCGCCCTGCCGTTCGCTACCTCTCGCCCCGTCGGTTGCCCGCTCCCGGCCCGCGTCCCCGGAGTACCTGTCAGCTACTCGCAGGTGCTCGGCTGGAGGACCGGCCGGCAGCCGGGCATGCGGCGCCGCCGGGGCCAGAGTCAAACCCTGACATCGCTGGGCCCCTTCTCAGAACGCCGAGGCCCCAGGAGCGCGCGGATTCCAGGACGCCCAGGAGAATTTGGGAGCTCTTGTCCGGCAGGCAGGGACGGCTTGGCCTTGTCTCCTCGAGCCCCCTACTTTGTCCCCTCAACAGTCTGCAGAACCCTGTCCTAGCTCCAGTGCACCTCTGCGTAACACCACCACCCGGGCCTCTCTAAAAAGGGAGAGGTTCCCATGGAAACGCGAGGAATCTCATTTGCGCCTGCGCCTGAGTGCTAGGCACGCTGGGAAATGTGGTTTCCGGGTTGTCACTCAGTGGCGGGATGAATGGACGCAAGGTGGCGCCCCAGCGTCGCGGTGAGTTTCAGACTAGCTGGATTCCCCGCCCCCTGGGTTTTGCAGCCTTAGGAAAGGCGGGGAAGGCCTTAAAGGTCGTTTTCTCCGGGCAGCCGTCGCTTTGAGGCGTCTGGGTGTGGGGTGAAGCGACGGAGGCGCGAACTCTTCAGCGCTTTTGGCTTTGCTGTTTTGAAAGTGGAACCTGAGGGACGCCAGCTCCTCGTTGCAGCAAGTGTTCAAGTCCGGCTTGGGTACCGGGGGATGTGGAATCGGGACTCCGGGAGCGGGGCCGTCGTGAGCGCCCGGGTTCCGACTAGGAACTCGACCCAGCGCCCTCCTCGGGCAGCGCGGTGCAATCGGGGAGGTGGCTGCTGAGGCACCGCCTTCTCCACTGGGAGTTAGTTAGGCACTTGGGCTGAGAAGCTGGAATCGTAGGGTGGGATTCAGGCTCTGTTAGTCTAAGGCGCGGTAGTCGCTTGTCTGAGCCTCGGTTCCTATTTGCTAAAATCGGTGGTAATTATAAGGCCTGCCTTTCCCCCTTTCTCGCTCTGGAGTGTCGTGATGGCATGGCTGTGTAGGCTGGACGGCTCTTTAAGGACACAGACATTCCCATTCACCGTAAATGGGTGCAACTTCTTGGAAGGAAATTAGGAGATGCCTCATAAAATTAAAAAAAAAAAAAAAAGCACACAGCCGTTAACAATTCTAAAAATGTGTCCTACAGATTTAGTGGCTGTGTGTGTTAAAAAGTATATACGAGGCCCTAAATGAACCATTACTTGGAATGCGATTTTGAAAAAAAGTAAATGTTCAATAAATGAGCATTTAAATAATTGATGGATTCCGTAAAACGGAATATGTTTATTTTTTAAACGATACAAATCTTTATGTACTGAGGTGGAACTCATGAGGTGAAACAAAATATTTCAAAGTGCAGAATAGTATGCTAATATGCTATCATCTCTATTTTAAAAGAATACACATAAGAGTATATTTGATTACAGAAGCTTGGAGCATTTTTGGAGGGCCTCAGAAGCTGGTAATAGTCGTTGCCTATAAAGATGAAGTGAGGGACTCATTTTACATCTTTAACCATTTTGCTTTTTTAGTGATTTTTGTGAGCTTTGTATATACATACAGTTCTTAATTTGTATTTTTTGGTTTTTGTTTTGTTTTGTTTTTGAGACAGGGTCTCCCTATATAGCCTAGGCTGGCTTTGAACTTTCAATCCTGCCTCCACCTCCCCAAGTGCTGGGATTACAGTTGTGCACCGCCATGCCCAGTTTGTCTGTATTTTTTGTGTGGTTTCCCTTCCAGTGTGTTCCCCCAAATGCTAAATCCTTACTTCTTAGGGTCCTCATGGATTCTGGTCCCTGCCTTCTGAGCTGCACAGGCTGCAGAAGGCAGAGCTGGCCTTAGCTCCACCTTCCTGCAGCCCCAGGCTTAGACTACTGAAAGGGCAGTTCCGTGGGATTTCTGGCTGGCTGCAGGAGGACAGGCAGCCCCAGTGTTTGCTCAGCAGGGAACTAGCTTCCTCCATGTGACCCGATAGGTGACATAATTCTACTTCTAGAGAGTAATAAGAGGTTAAATTCTAGCTACGGGCAACTGATGTGTATTGTTAAAAAAACAAAAAAATTGTCAGGCAGGTACCAGTAGCTCACGCCTGTAATCCTAGCTACTCAGGAGGCAGAGATCAGGAGGATCAAGGTTCGAAGCCAGCCTGAGGAAATAGTCTGAGCCCTGTCTCGAAAAACCCATCACAGAAAAAGGGCTGGTGGAGTGGCTTAAGGTTTAGGCCCTGAGTTCAAACCCCAGTACCACCAAAAAAAGAACCAAAAGTGAGGAGGGATAGTTAGAGCTTTTCGGGTCTAGTCCCTTTGTCATGCAGAAAGAAACAGACTCAAGGTGAAGTAACTTAGAAATGACAAAGCCAGGACACTTTGGAGTTAAAGCAGCACTGGAAGTCCCCCAGGGCCTGGGAGAGTCATTGCAAACACACAGTGTCAGTCAGTAAGGTTTGCTGTTGGTTCTACCTCTGAGGGCTGCTTTGAGGCAAAGAGTTGAGCATTACCTCCTTCTCCCAGATCAGGGTAGTGTGTCACAGGGCAAAGAGCATGATCTTGGGACAGGAACACTAAAATGAGGCAGGAGGGAAAGGGTCACTGAGATCCTTCTTCCCTGGCAGCAGCAGGCTGGCTTGGAAAACCAGGTTCTCTTGCATTGTAATAGGAGGAAGGTGATTCTTGGGACTCAAAATATGCTCAAGAACAAGGTGGAGGCAAGTCACGAGTTCAAGGCCAGTCTAGGAAAAGGTATAGAAACCCTGTCTCAAAAACAAACACAAAAGGGCAGGTGGTATAGTTCAAGTGGTACAGCACTTACTTACACGAGACCCTGGGTTCAATCACAGTACTGCCAAAGAAAAAAGAAAAGGAACTAGCATCAATTGTCCAAAAGGAATTTTAGCTTTTGGAACAGACTTGGTCTTGTCTAGAGGGCAGCAGCCAGTTCCCACTTCCTCATAGGTAACTCCCTTCAGTTGTCCCAACAGAGCCAAACAACTACTGCCTGGTGTAGACTTGTTCCCCATGGATAGGGTGAGGGGCATAGCAGCTTACATTGCCCAGGCCCTGCCCTAGAGATGAGGGAGATGGCACTGGCTGCCCCTCCTCTCTTTCCTATTCTTCCAAACCCCAAACACTCTACTCCCCCAACTAGTTCTGTCACAGGACCTGAGAAAGCTGGAAAGAGTAGGACAGGCCCAATACCTGGTGTAAACAGAGAAGGATCTGATTGAAAGACAGATGGCTTTATCATCAAATGGGAAAAAAAAAAACAATATGAAAATGTTTTTTATTTCTCAGTACAAAGCCAGATACTATAAGACTATGAAAAAGTGACTGGCCAGAGGCCTTTATCAACAAGAAGACTCTTTTTGGCCTGTTGCCCTGTGACCCAGTGAGCGCCATGGGAGGACCGGTGGTGAGGCTGGGGACTGAGGGGCCCGTCGGCCTTTGGGTCCCCTGGCCTAACTGCCTGGAGGGGTACAGTGCAGAGGGTGGGAGGAGCAGGGTGCAGCTGACAGGAGTGGAGGAGCCAGAAAACTTGCTTTGAAAAGCTCTGGTTTTGATTCCATGGCTGCAGGTGAGTGTTTTAGGGTGAGCTGAAAATGAAACTAGGGTGCTGTTGCCCCAAAGGCACCTTTAGTAGCTCTACCCACATCCCAATATAAAGTTTTGAGCCCTTGATAGGTGGACATGGGACTGAGACCTAAGGCCGTAGGAAAGGAGGCTGTAGAGACAGGTCTGGGAACTGGTAGGGAAGCGCTAAGAGGAACATGTAACCCACAGGTATGAGGGGTGCCCATCTGAGAAGCCAAGCTCGGTCTCTATTTAGTGTCTAGGGAAACATGAGTGTGTGAGGGCTCAGGCCTCACCCTCCTCTCTGCTGTCATCCACACTCGCCTGTCTCACCATCTTCCGGATCCTGGGCGTGCTAGACATGCTGGCCTCCCCCTGCCCCTGCTCCTGGCCCTCTCCCTGTTCTTGCTCCTGGAAGGCCCGGGCCCGGCTGGCCACCAGGGCAGCACTTTGCAGGGCAACCACAGACTGGCGGGACTTCAGGGCAGGCCAAGGCCCCTTGTAGAGCCTATGGCCTCCTTTGCCTCTTGAGAGCTGAAGAAAGGGCTGTAGAGGCTCTTCCTCTGAAGACTCATGGGAAGAGAAAACCTGAATAGGTGAGGACATAAAGAGGAGCCATGGGAAGGTCAGAGGTAGGAAAAGAATAGGTGCAGAATGTTTGTTCAATGAATGCCAAAAAATCAGCTGTTCTCAGGCCACACTTCCTAAGGAGGGAAGATAGCACCCACCTCTACTGCCCTTGTTCCTTGACCTCACAAGCCTGCAGCTTCCTTCTGTTCCCCTGTACCTGCCACCAGGCCTCAGCCTCCCTTCCTCTCACCCCTCTGCCCTTGTACAGTCAGCACCGTGAGCCACTGTTGAAACCCCATCAGGGGCCAGGCCCTTAACCAGGCCATCTGAACACATTTGTCTGGATGTCTGGCAATGCCTACACGCATCCATCAACCTTAATGCCTACTTTTCAGTCCATGCCTCCTCCAGGAAGCCTCTCCCAAATGTTCCTGCCCATGACAGACTCTCCTTCCTCTAGGTCAGCCATCTGACCTCAAGTCACATGTGAGGCCTCAGGCAAGGCCAGCTTCCTGTTCTAGCCTTATGCCCTGCGGTGCTTAGCAAACAAGATGCTCACTGACAACACCCTTCTCCACCCCATCCTTTTCTGTGTGGCTCCTCAGAGTAGGAGGGGCTTCGGAGACCATCTTACTCACCACTTCCAGTACCAGAGGCATCTCCAGGGTTAGCATCTGGATGTGGGGCTCGGGGCCTGGGGAGGACACTCCCTGCACAGCTGGGAGCCCAGCCCCTTAGAAAGCTAGCCCAGATGTCAGGTTGAAAACTGTCTTTGACCCTGGCTGCCTGAAGCTGGCTTGCCCGATCTCTAGCTCCCCAGAACCTGGACCTGCTGGCTCACCTGCCCTCACTGGGTCTCCTTGGCTGCTCTGAGGGGCAAAAGGGAAATGCCCAGAATGTACACCCTATGAGCACCCCATCTTCAGGGTGCTTATAGGACAGGTTGGGCTGGTGCTCAGAGGTGTTTGGTGGACAGCGTGGCAGAGGCAAAGATGAGGCCTCTAGGGGTCTTGAGCTCTCAGGACACCCTGTGTGTGTGTGGGTCTACACTGGGCCCAGGTAGCCCCTACTTGGGGCCCAAAGCTGAGCACCAGTGATGGTCTTTCCCTGTCTTCCCTCTCCCTCAAAGCCCACCACTGCAGACGGGCTCCCTGGTGGGCCTCACCTCAGGCAGGTCAGCAGCCTCCAAGACATTCTCTGGCTCCAACTGTGAGGAGGGCTCCAGGAGGCTGATGGACCGCATGACCCCTCGGAGGTTGATACGGGGCCGCAGCCCAGGCTCTTGTTTTGGGATCGCCTGACTTTCCTCCAGGCACATAACCTTCACCTCCCCACTGCCCCCCGGTTCTGGTGGAAGAGGTGGGTATGGTGTAGAGACTTCAGGGGCCAGAGGCTCCTCTGGGGAGACCCCACCCACTTTCTGCTCCCAGACATGGCTCTGCCGGCTGTGAGGAAGTGGGCCTGAGTCAGCTCTGAGTGACACAGCAGCCACCCCCAGCATACACATCAGCCCCCTTGCCTCCCCATTCCATACCTGGCAGTTAGAATGCCCTGATAGGTCTGCAGCTGGCGCAGGAAGCCAGGGTTGGGGCGAACGATGGGCCGGAGCCCCTGCACATGGAGCAGAGCCTGCTCCAGGCCCCAGCCATACTGTTTCATGGCATAGGCCAGCACGGTGGCAGCCGAGCGACTGACTCCCATCTTGCAGTGGACCAGCACCCGGGTGCCCTGTGCTCTGTGGAGTGGGATGTGGTCAGCCCCCTCCCTCCCCCAGGGACCCTGCAGCATGGGGGAGGAGTAGCTAAGGGCTTTGGGCCCAGCAGAGAAAGAAGGAAGGGAGGACACAGAGAGCCTGAGGAGGGAACTGAGCTGAGGGCAGAGTGGGCAGGAGGAGGGCACTGGGCCCTGCTGAAGTGGGGCCCAGCCAGTGAGCCCTGGGAAGGGCAGTGAAGCTGAGAGGAACCTGACCTTGCAGCCTCGATGAAGCTGTGTGTTTCCTTCCAGTGAGGCAGCAGCTGTGCTGACTCCTCATCCCAGAGGCGTACGTTGTGGTAGATGAAGCGCTCGGGGTAGAAGTTGTCAATCTCCCGAGCCACGTTCAAGATATGGCTTATCCTGTACCAGAGGGCCCAAGGCCAGGCTGACGCACCAGGGGCACCAGGCCCCATTGGCCAGGGCATCACACCCAGTATACCCTGAGTGTTTCTGTTTGGTTCTTGGTTCTAAGAGTCAGGTGGCAGCAACGCTCATAGTAGGAAGAGAACTGACCAGCTGTCAGATAACAGTTGGGCTTGAGTTTCTCTGTCTAGTCCAGATATGAGGCCAGCTGCACAGTAACCCTTCCATTATTCTTGGAACTTAGTTAGAGAACAGCTTTTGAGTTAAGCTGAGATTGGGTGGCTTTGCAGCAGCAGGTGACCGGGCCAAAGCAGGTCTCCCAGAAGCCCATGGTGGAGAGATGACAAGTGCCTCTGAGAGCAGGCAGCAGGTCCCAACTGGGAGAAGGCATTTCCTTCTCCCTCTGTATGTGGCCAGATGGGCAGGAGCTTTTTCTGCTGCCTCCATCTTGGCATGGTTGAGGCCTTATTTCTGCATTTGGCAGTGTAGGGAAGAAGAGAGGAGCAGGGGCAGCAAGGTGGCTATCCCATCTTGGCCTAAAAGCCCATGCAGAGGCAGCCCAGCCCCAAGGGTAGGGCTAGATGCAAAGCCAATAGGATGCTGAGCTGAGGGTGGTCTGAGGTTTCAGAAGCTGGCCAGGGCATACCTTGGGGAGGCTGAAAGAAGGGAAAGAAAGAGCAGCAGTCCTGAGTGGTATGGAAGCCCACCTGTTTCTCTGAAGCTCCTCCAAGTTGGCCGCATTCCATTCAGAGCCCTGTGGGGCAGGAGAGAAGCACCAGGTTCCCTGGTCTCCAGCTGTGCTTCTCACAGCAGCCAAAGGGATCTGGTTCCCATGCCCCGCAGCCTGTGCTTACCAGGTAGAGGTGGGGGAAGATGCGGGAGGCCCGGTCTTGCTGGGCCATGAGTAGCAGCATCTGGTTGTCGATGAAGTCACGGTACTGCTGCAGAGGGCAGCCTAGGCGCAACTCTAGGGCCTGGCGGATCTGCAGACAGGGCCCAAGGGGAAGAGAGGTTCCTGTACCTTGCCCCTCTGGGGCCTCTGAAGACAGAACCCATCCCATCTAGACAGCTGAGGCCAGGGAATAGCACAGGATTAGAGAAAAGCAAGGTGGGAAGGGCTCTAAGGAGAGGTGAGCCCACAGCCTCAGCTGGGGGTCTCAGGCCTAGCCCCTGCCTACCTCCTTGGAAGTTATGCTTTCCAGGTCACTGGTATCCAACACCTGCCACAGCTCAGCCCGGATGGCCTGCTCCATCTGCTCCTGTTCTGAGTCGCTGGAAGCAGAGGCCCTCGGTCAGCAGTTCTTCCCCTCTCTGCCATGGCAATCCCTCACCCCCTCTTCTTCCCCTTGCCCCACACTGACTGGCTAGGCTCCACACTAGGAGGTCGCAGGGACTCCAGGTCAGCCATGGCCATCCACTCGTTGAGGCAGCTCTGGTCAGAGTTCAGTCTTTCCTGGTAGTAGGCAGCCCAGGCAAGGGCACTGCCACCTGGCACAAGGCCACTGCCTAGAGCCGCCTCACATGCCTGGTGTAACACCTGAAGCGTGGCCCTGGACGTGGGAAAGGCTGGGTCACATAGTTCACCCTGCTCCCCTCACCCAGGCCCTGCTGCCATCTCCTGAGGAGAGGAGGCTGGCCCAAGGCTGGGCCACCACGGGACTTACCACATGGACTGGATGGAGATGGGCTTGAAGATTCGACTCTGCCCACCAGATGTCACACTGAAGCCCCTGCAGGAAACCCCACAGGGGTGGGATCAAACCCCAGGCTCTCAGACAGAAAGCCTGCCCATTTGCCAGATGTGGGGAGGCTGAGGCCCAAGAAGTTAGGTGACTTGCTTAAGATCATACAGCAAATCTGAGCTGAGAATAAGCCCCAGGTCCCAGCCCCAGTTCTGCTATTCTTCACCGCCCTGCTTCTCCTCTCCCCTTCCCATCTCCTGTTGCCACCTCTTACCCATCTCCATCAAGGTACACCTGGGTGTCACTCCAGAGGGGCAAGACCAGGCCCAGGGTGCAGCTGGGGGAGCTGGCAGGGGACAGAGGGAGAGGTGTTGTCCTCCAGCACCTTATTCCTTGCCCTCCTCCCTCCCTGTCCCTGCTCCCACCTGCTGTCAGGGAAGTCCACCCCCAGGAGGACTGTCTCCTCTTGGTTCACACATTCTCCTGTGGAGACCACCAACAGGTAGCGAAGCCTCGGGGGCCGGGCTGCCTCCAGCTGGGCTGCCTGGGGAAGATGGGAAGAGCCCCCAAATCATAGTGGCCCTTGGGATCCTGCTCCCCTCTCCATGTTGGACACATCCCAGGCCGGAACAGCTCCACTGGCCCCTGTGCCTCCCACTCCCATCTGCAATTCTCAGATATAAGATCAGTGAGTACAATCCAGTTCCCAAGTTTTGGATTTCAAAGTTCAACAAAATGCTTTAAAAACTTTCTTAAAGGCAGAGTATGCGGGAAAAGGGTGGAGTGGAACTGACTCTCTGCCTAGCAATGAGTTTTTCTTTTTAAATACATACCACTTGCTGTTATCATTTCATTCAGGATGTTCTCCACCAAAAACTATGAAGGACTTAATCACACTTGTGTTCTAAACAGCTTTACCTAAGACTGCATCTTGTTTTTCACACTTTGCCATTGACAGCTTCTGGGAGCTGATCTTCCAGCTTTAGCAGACACCAGGCCTCTCTGGGGGTGTCCATCCCTCTGCCAGGGCCCCTCCAGCACACCAGCCACTGGCAGGTGTCTCCTGAGCCCTCCCTGAGTGTTGGTCCATTTCTGGACAACTCACACCATCAGGAGATTTCCACAAGCTGAACACAAACCTTCCTGCAGTGTTTCCCACTTTGTGGGCTGAATTCAGCTCTACTGACTCACGCAGGACAAACCTTCCCTTGTCCTTTCACAGTCCTGAGAGATGGAAGACGACCTCATGCTGCTAAGACGGCTCTAGTTGAAGCAGTGGGGTGCTCGGAGCTGGGTGGCCCTTCCACTGTCCAGTGTGTCCCTGCTCCCACACCCTTGCTCCATGGCAGACAACACGGGCTTCCCCATGGTGGCTCCTCACCAGGCAGATGTTGTCCTGTGGCCTCAGCAGCTCTACCATGAGGTGCAGGTGTTGCCTCTGTGTCTGTTTCTGGGGCCCTTGCCCATTGTCTGGCTGGTCACTGTGGAGCGGTTCCTCACCCGGGGGTTTCTTCACTGGCTCAGAGCCATCCTCAGGTGTATCACCACTGTCCCCTCCGTCCTGCAGTCCCAAGACAGCTCCACGGAGCACCGCAAAGCTCTGCCTGGTAGGGTGATGGGATCATTAGGGCCTTGGGGGTCTCAAGTCTTAGGGAGCAGCTGAGTCCCAAGAGGGCTGTTGAAGGGATTTTTAGCCCACTCCCCAGAGAGTCAGCCAACCAGGCGGTTTGCATCTCTAACAGGCCCCTGGTGGTGGCTAGCACACTGGGAAAAGCCAGTCTCAGGCTCTCAAGGCCCTCCCCACATGTCTGAGGCAGGAGGGGCTACCATAAACCTGGTTAGGGTCCCTGGAATCCTCAGGCTTTATGGTCCCATATTTCCCTTGGGCCTATGTCCACTAGCCTGAGCCAAGGTCCAGGAGTGGATGAAAGAGCACCAACTGCCCAGGGGGAAGGTGAAAGCCAAGTCAGCCCAGCTGGTTCTGCTACAAGCCAGTGACTGATGTGGAACAGCCAGACCCCACATAGGACCTAGTAAGTTTTGCCTGTGACTCCTCCAGTGAGCCCTGCATCCATGATGCCTAGAGTTGGGGATAGCAGTGGCCAGGTCCAGAGGCTGGATGGAATCACGTGTCCAGAGAAGGGGCTCACCTGCGCTGGAGCCGGCTTCTGCGCTGGACTGCTGGGTCCTGCTGAGAAATCAGACCCCAGGGGAGAATGAGAGCTTAAGCCTCTCCCTCTTTCCTCTCCTTTCCAGGAGACTGGGGACCAACCTGTCCGTCCTGGGGCGTGGGGCCAGAAAAAGTGTCAGATGCTAATCCCTTCCCACCCGAGCCCCCTCCCCACCAGGAGGCACTGGGGGAGCCCCAGCCCAAGTCCAGGTACTGCGGGGCGGGGTGGTGCCCGGGGCGAGGGAGCTATTATGGCCAAAATGGGCCTCTGCAGACTGGGCTCGCGCTCGGGACTCTTGCCTTGGTCGGGTTCCTGGGAGTCTCAAACCCCCAACCCCCTGGAGGCTGAGACTCAAGATCCCCCTCCGCCCACCCCCTAGAAGTGAGGGAGGCTGCCGGGGGGCGGGACGTTCTCTCTCAGGCCCAGCTGGTAGCCAACTGCGTGGGCAGGACCAAGCCAGACTCACCGTGGGCTCCACAGGCGTGGAGTGGCCGCTGGCCGGAGGCGAGCGGCTCACTGTAACCAGAGCCATGAAGCCAGGTCGGGGGGCACCTGGGCGAGCAGTCGGCACGGCCCCCTCCCAGAGTCCTATAAACAGTCCCTGCCCCGCAGGACCAGGAAGGAGAGACCAGAGCCACCGGGGCCTGGCACCTCCTCGGGGGCGGCCCTTAAAGGGCCAGACTCCCGCCCAGCACGGCCTGCAGAGCCCGCACTGAGCGCCGCTGCCCCTCCCCTCCCTTCTTCTCTGAGCTGCCCGCCTCGCCCCGCCCCCATCCCGATGGGGGCGGTCCCGGAGGCGGGGCGCAGGTGTGGAGCTCTGACCTCGCCTTCATTCCTTGGGTTGATCCCTCCTCCCAGGAAGCGTCCTCGCCCGGCCCTACCTGCTCTGCTCAGTTAGATCACCTAAGCGCTGTTCTGGGCCTCAACCATTGTTACCCAGCAGAGGTGGGTTCTAGGGAGGCAGGGGTTGGGGACAGAGGTTTTGGGATCAAGCCCAGTGGGTCTTAATCAGGCGTCCCCACCCCAAACTTATTTCTCCTTGCTGGTTGGCTTTCATGCCGCCACTTTGCATGAGTCTGGGAGATACTCAAGCTTCTGGAGAAATGGGGTTGACCTTTGGAAATAGCCAAGGAAGCTCACAAAGGTTTCTCAGGTCCACCTTGGAGGCGACCAGGGCAAGGGTGAGCCCAGTTCACAGCTCTGCAGAGGGAAGTGACCTGCCCACAGTCACTCTGATAGAACATGCAGGAGTCAGGGCAGGAACCTGGGCTGCAGGAGTGTGGTGGTAGGGTTTTCCAGTGGGCTGTGAGTAGGATCTGGAAGCCCAATAGGAGTAAGGGCCAGGTTCCAGGAAGGTCAGGCTGGGGTGACAGGGGGAACCTGGAATTCCAGAAGGTGGGGCAGGGCTCAGGGGAACTGTTTATGGAACTCTGTAAAGATGTCTTTCACCCTCCCAATGCCCAGGGTGAAAATGGCCTCATTTTACAGATAAAGAAACTGAAAGTCAGAGAGGCTAAGGGGACATGGCTAGGACTCAAAGCGAGGTCTAATGTCGTCATCCCCGGTGTTCCCCCAGCTCCTACCCAGTGAGTAGAGCAAGCCTGCTGCTGACGGCCTCTTTATTTCCATCCTATTGACGCCCCACCTCCAGGGCTCCAGGCCCCCAGCTCAGCAGCAGACAGTTTATAAATAAATTACAAAAGCAGGCAGAGGGAGTGACCCTGGACAGCCCACCCAGGGCCAGACAGTTCAGTGCTCTGTGAGTGACAGTTGAAGTATCCGCTGTAAATCCTCTTCCTCCTGCTGACCCCGCCGCTCCCGTTCTTCCTGCTCTCTGGAAGACAGCTCCAGAGCCAGCCGAAGCTGTTCCTCAAAGCTTGGTGGGGCAAGGGACAGGGGCGTCCGCTGAGGGGATGCTGGGCCCCCGGATTCTGTGGATAGTTGCAGGCTTTCCTGGAGTGCTCTTCCGGGCAAGGGTGAGAGGGGAGAACAGACCAGGTGAGGAAGACGGCTGGGGGAGGAGCCAAGGGGCCAAGCCATGTGGCTTTGGGGGACAAGGACAGGATGTCAGGGAAGGAGACAAGCAGAGCCTGACTCCCATTTCTCATGCAGCTTTTGGAGGTGTGCAATACTGCTGTGGTGAGGCCATGAGCACCAAGGACTAGTACTTCCCTGTAACCACTTCCCCCCCCACCCCAGCTGGGGACTCAGGCTGGGTGGGGTCAAGGCAGGGACCTGGTGAGTCCTCCAGAGTCTCACCGCTCCAGCTGAAGCTGCTCCTCATACACCGTGGCTTGGGGAGGAGGGTGAGTGTTGGGCCGTGTGTTAGTTAGGGCTTCCCAGACAGTCACCTGCATAGCCAGATCCCAGAGCTGTCACCTGGGCCCTGTGGCTGCAGAGGCCAGGGCCCACCTTCCGCTCAAGGCCTACCTGCTCGGCCTCCGTGCCTGCCTCAAGCAGACTCTGCTGGATTGCAAACTGCAACAGGTCATCGTCCTCATCTCGAAGGGGCTCGCTGCGCTCAGTGCCCAGCACGCTATACCCCTTGGGCACCTCAAACACAGTGGGATCCACCTCGCATGGGAAAGGGCTCCCTGGGCAGGCGGCAGAGGGACCATGCTCAGCCTCCAGGGCTCAGTGATCAGAGAGCCGGGTGCAGCCTCCTCTGCCTGCCTCCCGTAGCTGTACCTGAAGGGGTGGTGGTAGAGCCAGGGGCCGGCACCCACACTGAGCTCAGGGGCTCATCACAGCCACACAGGTTGCTGAAGGTAATTCGGGCATTGAGTACGTGGAAGAGGGGAATCTCTGTGAGGAGATAGCCAGGACTGAGCTGCCTGACCCCTGCAATAACCCCATCCTTGGGGAGGGCACCATGCTCAGGTTGTCCAGTTGCCCTGGACCATCCCCTCACCAATCTTGATGGGGAAACCAGGTGGGAGGCGCAGGGTGATGAAGTCACGAAGCTTGGCAAAGTGAGCATTGCTGATGGCCATCAGGTCAATGATGGGGGTCACCTGGTCACCCAGGGACAGTGGGTGCTCCTCACTCAGCCACAGAGTTGCTTTGAACCTGCCCAGATAACCACAGGATGTGGTTGAGGGGCTTTCTAGTGGCCTTTCCACTAAGGCCTACCCTCTCTGGTCACCTGCCTACAGTGCCCTCATCCCTGCTCAGCTGCCTGTCTCCCCCAGGACCTGTGTCCTGGCCCTACAACCTGAGCTGCCCCCAGGCCCTGGGCCCAGACTGACGCTCATGATGGTTTTGTGTCACTCATCTGGTCTGGCTGTGGGCTTCTCTCTGGGCTTTGTCCACAGTCCCATCCTCCTTGGTCCACAGCTGGCCAGCACCATACACTTTGCTGTACTTTTGTGTCCGGTATAGGCCAAGGATCAGGACTGAGGGGGTTTGAATCCCAGCTCCCACAGTGGGTGGCTGAGAGGTTCTGTGTGAGGTAGCCCAGAGCACGCGGGTCCTGCTGTAAGGCTATGTCCACTGTGACCAATTGTGCCTGGTCATCAGATCTGCAGGCAAGCGGGAATTCTTGTTTCACTGTGGAAGAAACCAGACTCCCAGAGAAGAGATTTTCTTATGACACACAGCCCAGGGGCAGCGAAGCTGTGGGTCTTTACCATTCCACCACACCCTGGTCCCTGGGAGTGCTCATTAGGTTGAACAGAAAACCATCTGTGGTGGCGCCACCCAGCATTCATTTATTCCTCAAAGAAATGTGACCAATTTTCTGGGCCAAGGCACATGCTAGGTGCTAGGACCACGGGTAAACCAGACATGGCTCTGGAGCAGAGGCCAGAGAAACGCCTTCTAGATGAGCAAGTCCCTCACTAACATGGGCTCCAGGTGTGCCAGGAATCTGCAGGGGATTCAGGCAGGGTCCCCATCCCTGAGAAGTCCCCTGTCACCCCCAGACTTTACCTCTGTACTTTGCTGGACATCTCAATGGGGCGGCCGATGTTTCTGGACTCCAGGCTGAAGCTGGGGTCAAAGTATTCCTCGGGGGAAATGGCTGTGGGGTTGGTGGAGCTGGCTGCCTGTTGCACAGGAGCCTGAGTGGCCCCGGGACCAGACTTAGTCCTCAGATGGACAGATGACAGCAGTGTTCAGCCTCCCAGGCTCAGCCCGACCCCTCCCTCAGCCCTGGCTCACCCCGCTGTGGGAGGAGTGCTGCTGGGCCATCCCCAGGAAGGACTGGAACGGAGTCTTCCCTCCTACAGAAGAGGGGTGGTGGGAACCCGTGAGGGCATTTGGGCTGCTGCTCACACTGCCTCCCGAAACGAGGAGCCTCTTTGCTTGGTGCAGGGAGGGCACAGATGGGAACGGGATACTGTGGCCCTGACCCCAGACCAGCAAATAACTGGGCAGCAGGCAAGCGCACCTGGGTTTACCTTTGGTCCTCGACTTGTCCTGATCAGACAGGTGCTCCGTGCGTGTGCGTGTCACCAGCTCCACATTGGTGGCACTGTACACCTGGAGAGCAGGGGGACACGGGGAGCTGGGGGTTCAGAGCGGGTTCCCACACTCAGCCTCACCAGCACAGGACCCAAGTCCTCCTGTCCCCAGAGGCAGATGAGGTCTCCCTCTCCATAGTGGAACAGATGGCAGGGTCTAAACCCCAGGAGTCACTAACCAGGATATGCAGTCCAAGGGCCAAGAAGAAAACACCCCTCATCTGACCTCAGTCTTTTTTTTGCTGGTACTGGGGTTTGAACTCGGGGTCTCACACTTGCAAGGCAGGAGCTCTTACCGCTTGAGCCACTCCGCCAGCCCTAACCTCAGAGTCTTGAGTGGGGCTCGACAGTGAGTCCTCTTGGCCACACAGGGCTTCGGAGGTCCAAGGGCTATTCTGTCTTTCCCTCCACAGTGGGGGCGGAGGTAGAGAAGGAGCTGAGCTCCTGGGCCTCATCTGCTACCCCCAGCCCCCCACCACTGGCCTCTCCTGCCTTGGCCTCGTAGCCGCTAACAGTCTCCATCTTCTCAGACCGCCATCCCCAGATACCACATTTGTTCCTGCAACAGACCAAATAGGAGCTCATGAGGACCAAACCCCCTCCCCCACACCAAAGTCCCCCTCCAACTAGCTGCCTTGGCTGCCCAATACCCAGGGTCCCTTCTCACTGTGAAACACAAAGGGACCTGGAAGAGGGGGCCTGGACAGCTAGGGACATTTGAAAAAGGACTAGGGACCAGAAGATACAGAGGAAGTTCATTTTATTAGCTACGATAATAAAAAATATCCTTATCATTCGTCAGTGCAGAAGCATTTACTATTGAGACAAAAGTACATCTGTAATGAGCTTTAAAATACTCTCAGAAGGCAAAAAAAAAAAAGAAAAGCTGAGGAAGGATAGTCAATAAGACTGGCAAAATGCTGATCACGTTGAAGCTAGTGATAGTAAAGGAGTACATCCTCTCTTCTTTCCTGCATGTTTGAAATATTCTTCCTTTTTCTTTTTGTTTCAGACCTGGGGATTGAACCAGGGCCTCAGGCATGCATGCTAGGAAAGCGCTCTACCTCTGAGCTACACTCTCCAGCTCATGCTTGAAATTTCCCACAAATTGTCTGATTTAACAATGGTATCTGGAGACTTTGATATCCTATCTTCAATTATAAACAGAATAAACCAACAAAAAAACAGAAGACCAACAAAGAAACAGAAGACCTGAGCAATACCATAAATGAACTAGACTTTACAGACATTCTGAGAACATTCTACCCAATAACAAAAGAAAACATGTTTTTCTCAAACACACATGGGAGGCTGGGGGCATGGCTTAAGAAGTAGAGCCACCTGTCTAGCAAGTGTGAGGCCCTGAGTTCAAATCACAGACTGCCAAAAAAAACAAACCAAAAAACACTTGGAATATTCTTCAGGATATACTACATGGTAGGCCATAAAAGAAACCGTAATAAAATTGAAAGGATACAAATCATACAAAGTGTTTTCCAAACAATGAAATTAGCAATCAATAGCAAAAACAAAAACAAAAAGAAAACCTTAGACATTCACAAGTGTGTGAAAAGGAAATAGCACATTCCTAAATAATCAGTGGCTCTAGCTGGACACTGGTGGCTCACGCCTGTAATCCTAGCTGCTCAGGAGGCAGAGATCAGGAGGATCTCGAAGCCAGCCCTGGCAAATAGTTCCAGAGACCCTATCTCTCTGGAAAAAAGGTCTGGTGGAGTGGCTTGAGGTGTAGGCCCTGAGTTCAAACCCCACTACTGCAAAAAAAAAGAAAGAAGTAGAAAACTAGCATGAGTGGTGGTGTACACCTGTAATCCCAGTTCTCAGAAGACTGAGGCAGGAGGATCATGAGTTCCAGGCCAGCCTGGGCAACATAGCAAGACCCTGTCCTGGGGGAGGGTGGGGAGGAAGTAGAAAATTTGTACTCTGGAAAATGTAAAACATTGTTGGAAGAAATTAAAGATCTAAATAAACGGAAAAGCACCCCGTGTTGATGGAGTATAAGACTTAACATGGTACTGCTGAGTTACAGATTCAGTCCAATCCCATCCAAATCCCATGGGACTTCTTTGTAGAAGTCGGGAGGCTGAGGCAGGATTGTGAGTTTGAGGACAGCCTGGTCTATATAGTGAAAGTTTTTCTCAAAAGGAAAGAAACAGACAAACTGAATTCAGAATTCATATAAAATGCATGGGACCCAGAATACCAAAAATAATCCTGAAAAAGAAGAAAAAAGTAGGAAGACTCAGACTTTCCAATCAAAACATATTACAAGTAGCAGTGATTAATACAGTAGAATACTGGCCTAAGGCTAGACCCATAGACCAAGGGAAAAGAATGGAGAGTCCAGAAAGAAATCCGGTCATCTATGGTCAACTGACTTTTGACAAGGATGGCAGAGCACTAAATTGGAAAAACATAGAGTTTTCAAGAAATGGGGCTAGGGCAGGGGACAAACAAATAAATCCCCAAACCAACCAACCAACCAAACAAACAAACAAAAAAAGATGGGCCTGGGACAGCTGCATAGTCCCAGGTCAAAGAATGAAGTTGAACTCTTACCTTCCACTATACATAAGCATTAACTCAAAATGGCTCAAAGGCCTAACTGCAAAAGCTAAATGATGAAACTTTCAGGAGAAATCAAAGGAGAAAAACCTCCATGACCTTAGATTGACCATGCATCATTGGATACAATGCCAAAGGAATGAGCAACTATGAGAAGCAGGTAAACTGACTGTCATCAAGTTTAAAATTATCTTAAAAGTGAAGAGACAGCCTGCAGAAATGGAGAAAATGTTTGTAAACATATTCCTGATAAGGGACTTCTATTCAGAGTATATAAAGAACTTATAACTCAGTAAGAAAAAGAGAACCCAGCTCAAAACTTGGGGAAAGGATCTGAACAGACATTTTTCCAAAGAAGATGACCAATAAGCACATGCAAAGATGCTTGACATCATTCGTCATCAGGGACGTGCAGATCAAAACCACAGCGAGACACTGTTTCACATCCACTAGGATGGCGACTATCCAAAAATGAACAAATGAACAATGGAGAGAATGTGGAGAAGAAATTCGAACCCTTATCCACTGCTGAAAGGAATGAAAACAGTGTACAGGCCCCTTTGATCAACAGCCTGGCAGTTCCTCAAACAATTAAAACACAAAGGGCTGGTGGAGTGGCTCAATGGTAGAATGTCTGACAAGTGTGAGGCCCTCACAACAACAAAAAAACCCAAGTTAGCACATAGTCCCACAATTCTGTCCGAGGTATACACACAGGAGAAGTGAAAACACATGTTCGGAGTGGCCGAATGGTAGGAACTAACGAATAAACGGAATGTGCTATGTTCATACAATGGATTTAGTCATAAAAAGGAATGAGTAGTTACACACTACAACCTGGACAAACCTTTGAAACATGCTAAGTGAAAGATGCCCAAGTCACAAAAGGCAACATATTTTTAAAATTCCACTCATGTGACACTCCAAACTAGGAAAATCTATAGAGACTAAGAGCAGATTAGTGAGAGAAGAAAAAAAAAAAAACAGAAGAGTAGAAGGCATAATTAGTGGATACTTAGGGCTCGGGGGGCGAAGTGGGGGGAATAACAGCTAATGGGTTTCTTCTTGAGATGCTAAAAATGTTCTTAAGTTGCCCGTGGTGATGGCACCTATCTGTGAACAGGGGCCAAAGTGATCCCCAGTCCGAGCAGCCTCTGGCAGGAGCCTTAACGATAACCCTGCTTTCACCAACTGCAGCTCTTGCTACCTCTCCCCCGTTCCACCCATGGAGTGCCAGGCCCCAACTGACCTCTCGAAGGCCACATTGCGAGTATCTAGGTGGGTGGAGACGATGGGGGAGGTGAGGCGACTGGCCACATGTTCCTCGCTGGGCCGCATGGCAGCCAACAGTGCTTCCGGCTCATGCACAGCCAGCCCTAGTGTCTCTGTGTGCACCACCTGACGGTCATGGTCCACTTCCATCACCAGGGCTCCTGCCTCTGCCAGTCACAAGGGTGTAGGGAGGGGGACAAATCAGTTCTGGGTCCCACCAGCAGGCCACCTGCTATAGTAGGTGTGGCCTCAGCCCCTGGGTTTCCCACCACCCTCAGCTGTGATCTAAGTCTGCAAAGTGCAGAGAAAGGATAGCAATGTCCTCAAAACTCCTGGAGAATCCTATGGTGCCAGCGTGCCTGGTGCCTGCGGCAAGCGCGCTTGAACTCACCCTGGCCTTTGAAGATGAAGCTCCTCCGGCCACGCTGCCAGGTCATGTGTTCGAAGCCCAGGAGGCTGGTGTCCACCCGCAGGCTCTCACCCCGCTTCCACACGCGGTACACATCACTCGGGCACATCTTGGACACGAGGGGCACTGCAGGAATTCTGAGGTCACTGGAGTCTTTCCCCAAAGGCCCCACTCCACGTCTGGAGCTGAGTGATCCCCACTTACCCCAGCTGGTGAACTCCCACTTCATCTCCACATAGAAATCAGGGGCCTGAGAGAGACAAGAGCTGGAAGCTAGCAGGTCCTGTGGCTCCTTGTCCACCACCACTCTCTGGGAGCCCAGCAAGTCCCCACTCCAACCAAACTTTGCTCAGCAGAGGCTGGGCCAACCGGGGTCTACACATAAGGAGCTATAAGAATTTGGAGGCCTGGCCACAAGCCTGCTGGGGGGCCCTGGTGAAGCCTTTGCCTTCTCTGTGTCTTAGAGGCCCTCATCTGAAAAGGGATACAATGACCACTCCAGGACTGCCCTGGGTGGGGTAGAGGGCACGAGGTAGCATTCTCTGTCAGCCTGGCCCCTCTGTACACCTGCAGAAGGGTGGACAGCACATCAAACCAGGCATTCCAGGGGACAGACCATCGTCATCTAGCTGAACTTCCCCCAGGAAATCTGACTCTTTCAAGTTCCGTAGAGATTTTTAGCACTAGGGGCCCTCAATGCTGGTAAAGGCTTCCTTTCCAAAGAGCCCATTCTCATCCTTGTGGTCCTGGGATCCTCTTCTTCTTACATGACCTGAGCTGGGATCAAAACAGTGTTGGTGGGCTGAGAGCTAGGGGCTCATTCCTGTAATCCTAGCTACTTGGGAGCCTGAGATCCAGAGGATGGTGGTTTGAGGCCAGCTCAGGCAAATAGTTCTTAAGACCACCCTTTCCAAAAAAAAAACAGAGCAAAATGGGCTGGAGGTGTGGCTCAGGTGGTAGAGCGCCTGAGTTGCAAGCATGAAAGCCCTGAGTTCAAACCCCAGTGGTGGAGAAGCACACTGAATAGGCTAGGTGCTCTTCCAAGGCCAGGCCTGAGACCAGGGTGACCCCTGCCATGGTAGCTCCCTTACTGAGCACATCCTGTGCCCTGCCGTACCTGGCGGAGTTTGTTGAGCAATTCCGGAATACCAGCCAGCCTCTGTGTAGCCCTTTGGAAGTCCCGATACTGGAGCACCAGCTGTACCATCTCTGGGTCTCCAGTGCTGACTGCCTCCTGCAGGACTGGGGACACCTGACTGCTGAGGATAGCCTTCCCAGTGACCCCAGGTCTGGCACTCACTCCCATCCACCCAACCCCACTGCAGGCCTCAAGGAAAGCCCTGTGCAGTACCTGCCCAGCCCTGACGGCTCTCTTTGCCCACGTTGGCATTGTGTCGAAGGAGGACTCTCACGGACTCCAGGTTCCCCAGGGACACAGCCAGCTCCAGGGGGGTCCGCCCCCGGGGATCCTCCTGTTCAATGTCGTGCTAAGGGAGATGGGCCACTCAGTACAACACAAGAGAGGCCAAGGCAAGTTGGCTATGGAGTTGAACTGGGTGGGAGTCACTATGGGACGTAGGAACAGCAGCCAGGCCAGGGAGATGGCAGAGGGTGGCCAGTGTGTCCTGGCCGGGAGAGTGGAGGGGGCCCTCATGGGAAGAGCTTGCCCACCTCTCCTGCCCTCTGCCAGGGGCAGAGCTGGAGGCCTGGTGGAGGGGGTTTGGTCAGGCAGAGATGTAGGTGAGGAATGTCAACAGTTCGGAGGGGCCTGGGGACTGGGAGCAGGGCTCTTGTTCTCAGCCTGGCTCAGGGGTGACACGAGTGAGTTCAGGGGACTTGATGCAGTGTGAGATGGGCACACAGAATGTAGGGCAAGGTTCAGCGCTGGCAGATGCCGCGAAAGGATCAAGAGCTAGGGCAGGTGACCTGGGCTTTAGATGGGGCTGAGGTTGGAGAGTCGGGATGAGGCTGCGGAGCTAAGCAGGGGCCGGCGGCCTTCAGGTTGCACACCGCACCTCGGGAGGGGGCCCGGCGCACGGACCGAGTGCCCCGAGGGGCCTCACCTGGCGGCTGTGCAGCGCGGCCTCCAGTTCGCGGTGCCGGTTCGCCCAGACGAGCCGGTGCAGCGGGAAGGTGGGGCCCGGGCCGGCCATACTGGGCCTCAGTGCCGCATCCCGGGCGCGGCGGGGGCGACCCAGCCCCGCTCGGCTTGCGCCTGGCGCGGCCCCCTCCTCTGGACTCGGAGCCGCGCCCCAGCTGCACCCACCGCAGCCTCGCGGGCTCCGCGGCAGTAGCGGCGGGGGCGGGGGCGCGGGCAGCGGGGAAGGCGGGGCGGGGACCTGAGTGGGCGGGGATTCGCGGGAATAGGGCGGGGCGTCGGGCCGCGCGCCCCCTAGCCTCCCGCAGCCATGGCAACTACTGCCAGGTCGCCGCGCTGGCCGTGGGAGCAGGGCGCTGCCCAGCCGCTGGGGCAACCACGCGCACCGGGTGAAATCCAGGACTGGTCAAACCCAGAGCCTCAGTCCGACAAGGGCCTGCGGGGGGCGTTCCGAAGGGCGGGGCCTAACTACAGCTCCGCCCGTGCCTGCAGGGGGCGCCGCAGACCCTGCTCAGACCCCTTCCTTGCAGGTCCGGAAGGGAAGAGAGGGGACCCAGAGGCGGGGCGGCTTGGCGGGAGGCGTGATCTGGGCCCCTGAGAACTGTGCGCGAGGGTGAGCGTGCGGGCGCAGCGGACCGCGGGCTTGCTGCCTCTGGTCACTAGGTTTTCCTGGCAGACCCCCGCCCACGCCCCAGTCTTTTTACCGCCGGTCCCGCGGACACCGATTATGCTTGTGTGTGCCAGTGAGGTGAGAGGTCCACCCCATCGCTGCAAGCAGTGCTCTGGAAATGAACATTCGGCAGCTGCCTCTAAACGCTGGCCACTCAGCTTGAATCCCCTTCCTTAAGGACTTGTTTGGCCTGATAGCTGGAGGCTGTCACATGACTGGCTGGGCCCAGCGACCGGGAGTCAGGGATGGGAATAATACTGGGGGAGGGGACGCAGGCAGAGCCAGCGCTAGGGCTTCCCTGGTAGAGGACCATCCACGGTGAACGCTGCCACAGCACAGGGTCTCTTTTGCAGAGGCTGCACTTTGCCGTCAGTATCAGGAAAGGAAGGACTTCGAGTTTCGAAATAAGGCCCCCACCTCCACCCACACCGGAACTAGAGAATGCAGGCCTCACTCAGTTTAGTTCCTGGCCTGGGGTCTCAGATCCTGGCTTTGCTGGGTGGTGAGGCTGCAGCCAGTCTTGCTAAGGCTGAGCCTCTAGTCTTGGTTTCCCTATTTGTAAATAGATTTGTAGAGTGTGATTGAGAAGGGTAATCTAGCTTCAGGGTTCCCTGAAAAAGGGGACGTGATTGCCACTTTTAACCTGTCTTCTTGCTGAAGTCACATGGCTCCTGTGCCATCTGGGATCACTGCCACTCATCCTGTGGTGTCATCAGGACATCTGTAATGTCTGACGGTCAAAGACAAAGACTTCTGCTTAACGTCCAGAGCTCTAAAGCCAGGCTCTGCTGGCCTCTGCCTTTCTCAGATGCTGTCCCTTCCCAAATCCTGTTCAAACCCAAATCTAGGACTTTTTCAGACACAGCCTCTCAGGTCTGCTACATCCTTGCACACAGTTCCCTACCAGCTGTCACTTCTGGAACAGTGCCCCTCCCTCTTTCCCAGGGCCTTTTCTCACACCCTGATTCCCAAGTGGGGCCTTCCCTGGTGAAAGCCTGTCTGCTGTCATTGTCATCCCAGGTCATCTCTGGGCCCAGGTGTCCCGCACTGCCCAAGTTTACCTCCTCCTCTCAGGCCAGCTCTCCTCTGAGCTATCCGGCCTTTGAACAGCACCACAGCTCGCCTGTTGCATCTTGGATTCCCTCCCACCTTTCATCCCCAAGCTTGACCCATTCTTGCTAGCCCATGCTCTTCCATTTAGCCTCTCTCCTTGAACAGAAGCAGGAGCCCAATCCTGTCTCATTGCCTCCTGTCCTCAGCTTTTCTCTGTTGTGCAGTGATCAGTCACTTGTTTTAGAACCAGCTTCCATGACCCCTGCCTTGCTCTGAGCTTTTGGGGTCACCTATAGCCAAGTAAATCCAGCCTCTTGGTTCATTCATATCTTTATGCTGTAGTCAGCTAGTATGCCAGGGCTCTGTGCTAAGTTATGCCTGAGTGTCAGGGCCTCTAGGGCCAATTCCCTCCATCATGTTCCACTGACCTGAGCCATTCATGAGTGCCGGGCCTTCCTGACTTCAGAAACATCCCCACCATCCACCTCAATGCTGGAGGCCCAGCTAAAGACAGTTTCCTCTGAGACTCTTCAGTCTGCCCCAGCAAGGTCTTCCTCCTCTGTGCACCCGCCCATCTGCTGTGCTGTGGCCTCAGCCTTACCTAGCAGAGCCCTGCATGGAGCAGGCACGGCTGCCCTGTCATGCTCAGGGCCGGGAGGCAGGAGGCAAGGAGGCGAGGAGAGGAAGCAGACTCTGGGGAGATGAGGGACCTGACGCTGGGGTACCTTTCAGGCCCTAGGGACCCCGACTGGGGGATGCATAGTGAGGCCAGAAGAGAGACCAAAGCCAGAGATGACCAAGGGCCCAGAGGCTACAGTGTGGCTAGAGGTGCCCTGTGTTACCATACTGGAGGGTGGGGGTTGAAGGAGTCTCAGTGCCTAAAATGGAGGGGAGCTCGCAGCGGTGGAGATGGGCCCAGGTAGTAACATGGCACCAGATGTAGGCTTGTTGACACCTCCTGCTCACCTGGGAAGTAGGCATAAGACTCCCTTTCCTCTCAGGAGAAAGGGAGATGGAGCAAGCACTGAAGAACCAAGGGAGGAGGACAAGCCAGCTGGGCAGGTTGGGAGGGAGAAGTTGGTATCCCAGCCCTACTAGAAGAGGGCCTGGGTCTCCCTGGAGGCTGCCACAGTGGTGGAAGGGGCCTGGTGCCACCAAAACCCTCTTTCTTCAGTGCCAGCTGGCAGAGGCTAAAAAGTGGTCACCAGGCACAAAGAGAGTCTGAGACAGCAAGGGGTCAGGCACCATTTTTTATAAAAACGCATAGTCTCATTTTCCACTCTTTAAAATCACATTCAAAAATCGGCAAAGAAACGCCCTGGGAGTGAGTAGACAAGGGGAGGGTGCGCCGCCCCAGCCCCAAGGAGAGGGGCGCAACACCACACACGGCAGCACGACTGGCACAGGGGGGCATGCGGTGGGTGAGGTGGCGCCCACGGATGGTGGCACTGACAGGACATGGGCTGTGGGACTGGACAGCCATGGGTGGGGGCACATTGACTGGCCAGGGCAGGGAGGGCTGGTCCCTGCTGGCACCCTCTCACTGTGCCACCTGCCTGCCCAGGCTGACCTGCTGTGGTTCTCGACAGGTGAACCTTACCCAGCCCAGGGGCAGAGGACCCGAGAGGCAGGCTAGGCCATTGTGGCCCAATCCGCAATTGCTTTTCTGTGCTCCTCAGCTCGGGTGCTTGGCGGGAGAAAGAGGGGCCTGCAGGGAGGCCAGCAGTAGCTACTGCCAATACCACCCTCCTGGTGAAGCCCCATAGTGTCCAGAGAAGTGGGAATGGGGATAGCAGTGACACAGGGGCTTTTCCTGAACAAGGGCCTAGGAGCCCCAGTCACTGGGGGAGGCTTCCAGAACCAGAGAGACAAGGGCCCGCTCCTCACCAATGACCAGAGGGCACGACAGAGGGGGTCCATCCCTCTGTCACAGGAAGGGCTGTGGTAGGAAAGTTCAAGTAGTACCCCTGTGCTGTGCCTTCCCCTGGGATAAGGAACACTGGGCCACCCATCTGTGCCATGGGCAGAGCATAGCCCACAGAGCCTGAAGTGACACAGCTCCATGTGACTTCACCCTGAGGAGGGGCAGGAGGGCTGCTGGAAGCTGCTGCTCTCCCCAATAGGAAGACACTGGGAGCGGTGGCCCAGGGGTGTCAGGTGTGCTAGACAGTGGCTGGGTTGGTGGCAGCAGGAGCCGAGGCAAGCAGGCCCCTCCCTGGGGGCTGGGCCAGGCTGGGGCCACAGGAAATCACAATAATTACAAAATAAAACCTTTTCCGCTTTGCGGGAAAACAAATAATAAAAATTCAACAAAATAAATTAGAGGTTTATAAAAGGCGGGTGGGAGGTGGCAGGTGGGCAGGCAGATCAGAGACCGTTGGCACTGCCACGCTGGATCAGTGGCACCTTGCTCAGCTCCACCACTGGCGAGCGTGGCTTGTTCTTCATCTTGGGCACTCGCTGCACCAGCTGCTGGGCCTCACGGTAGGCATCACGCAATTCCTTCTTCCACTGTACCAGCTCAGGGTCACTCTGCACAGGCCCAGGCTCTGTCAGCCTTGGCTGGCACTCACTTGCCCACCTGCACCCGCACCCAGGGCCCCAACTCACATCACACTGCAGGACAAACTGCTTGCCACCTCGGATCTTGAGCAGGAGGCACTTGCGCTCCTTGATCTGTGTCTCCTCCACTGACTGGATCTCCTCCATGGTCAGCAAGCTCTGCTGCAGGGTGGAGTGGAGGGACCCAGTGGTGAGGACAGGCTGGCAGCCACCCCACGCCAGCACCTGACCCGGGCAGCAACCCTTACCGGGGCCTCGCCCTCGCCCCGCCACTCGAGCCGGTTGGGGAACAGGTAGAAGTACCGCCGCTGCCACTGGGTCAGGAAGGGGTTGCCCATCTTGGACATGTAGCCGTGCATGATGCAGTCCTTGCCCAGGGCATAGTCTGCCATGAGAGCCAAGAGGCAGGTTTAGCCCCACAGACATTTTCTGGCTGTGACTTGCTCAAGTTCCTTAACCCAAGCCTGCTTCTCACTTCTACAGCACACAGTGGGCCTGCTGCCTCCCAGACCCCCAGTCGGTGAGATCTCACCTTCCTCATGGCCCAGCTGCTTGTTTTTGGCTTTCTTGCGGGCCTCCAGCCGGTCTGTCTCAGTATTGATGGTGTCAAAGACAGTCTCTGCCACCTCCTGCTGCCACCGCTCCGAGATGGTGAGGGGGAAGTTGCGGTAGAGCTCCTGATCACTATCCAGTAACTTCAGACAGAGCAGGGACACACAGATGGACAGAAGGTGCAGGGACGTTATCAGCCACAGGCCTACCCGGGGCCCTGGGGCAAGTAAGGTCTGGTCAAATTGCCAACTCCAGGAAGGTTTGAGGGGGAGGAAGTGTGGCCCATAGTCAACAGGGCTGGCATAGGGTCTCACAGGAACAGAGGAGGGATAAGAACCCACCTGTGCCTGGCTCTGGGTTCAGGGAAGGCCAGGCAACGTGCAGTACCTTGATTCCTTTTGTGTCCTCCTCATCAAAGGAGCCAATGTCGAAGGCATCGGCGGCATTCACCTCCCCGCGTGGGGGAATCAGTGGGGGCGGGTACTGTGCAAACAGGGGTCAAGTGTCAACACAGGTGAGGGGCTTCAGGGGGCCCCATCCCGGCCCACTGTGACTCTTACCTTCTGCAAGAAGACCATCTGCCAGTCCAGGGAGCGGAAGAAGGGGCTCTCCTTCACCTCCTGAGCCCTGTGGGGAGATGGCTGTCATCTGGGCTCCGCATCACCTGCGTTGGGCTAAGTCCAGTCTCTGGAGCCCAGGCTCAACTGCTGGCTCAGCCACTTTCTGGCTCTGTGACCTTGGGCAAGTTCCTTAACCCTGAACCTGTGTCCTCATCTCTAAAGTGAGAGAACAGCAGTTTCCACATCACAAGATTTTTGTGAGTTCTAATATTGGTAACCTTGCAATGCCTTCCTCAGCACTTACGGAGGTCTAATAATCATAAAAAGTCACTATGATGGTCACAGCACCTTTGTCACACAGGACCCTCTAGACACCAGTCCCCAGCCAGCTCCAGCAGCTCTACACTCAGCCAGCCCTGCCACTGAGGACCACACTTGTGAGTTCCTCAATGGAGGCTGGGACCATGAAGGGGCCTCTGGGTGATGGAACACAGCCATCATCCTCAGGGGACACAGCAAGAGGCCCAGGCAAGCTGCCAAAGCCCACAGCAGAGACCCAGCCTGGCTGGGTGGCCAGGGCACTCACCCGCGGCCCAGGCAGCCTAGCCTCCTGTTGACATCCCTCTGCAGCAAGCCTTCCAGCAGGGAGCGGAGTTCAGGGGAGAAGGAGTCTGGCAGCTCCACAGCCTTTAGGGAGGAGGAGGAGGACATTGGCAGGGGCCGAGGAAGAACCTTTGGTCTATCACAGCAGGAGACAAGGTCCAGCTTCCTGACCGGCCCCCAGCATGTGTGAGCTCTGACAACACAGACAGAGCGAGAGGTCTGCCTCACAAGGACAGAGAGGTGTGAGTGGCCCAAGAGCTCTGCTGGTTGGTGAGAACTAAGAGTCCATGATTCTGGCACCCACAGGAGAGCCCACTGAGCCCTTGCACTGAGACCCTTACGCTCACCATTGTCAATGTCATGCGGTCAATCTCATGCTTGTCTTTGGTCTTGTGCTGCCGGAAGGGGCTGTGCCTAGGCAAGAGAGGCCGAAGACCAAGGTCAAGAAAAAGAATGGGGAAAAGGGAAGGCAGCATGAACGAGCCTTGTCCCAAGTCAGGGATGGTGCCACCCGTATCACCCGAGCACCTGGGCTCCTACCTGGACTGGGGAAGAACATCTCCTGGCCCATCCTCCCTGCCTACTCACCCCCGCAGCAACTTGAAGAGCATGCAGCCCAGAGAGAACCAGTCAGCGCTGCTGTCATAGGCCACACCCTTCTGCAGGACCTCTGGGGCCATGTACCCGTGGGTGCCCCTGTGAGAGCGCAGATGTCATGAGCAGGAGTGACGGAGAGGTGGGAAAGGAGGGAGGGGCTGGGCACTTACACACTGGCATGAGGCTTCTTCTTGGAGAAGTCGCAGGCCAGACCCAGGTCCGAGATGCGCACATGGCCGTGCTCGTCCAGAAGGATGTTGGCCGGCTGTGGAGGAAGCTCAGTGAGCTGCTGGCTGGCCAGGCAGGAGGCCAGCTGGGTGTCTTTACTGGAGAAGACTCTGGGTTATCCAGGACAGGGCCTAGAAGGGGTCTCCCCTCTTTCCCTGATCACAACCCAAACTTAGAAAGTGGATCAAGGGAGGGGGAAGGAAGGGGCAAGGAGGGGAGAGAGGCTGGCCTTGTCACAGGCCTGACGGGCCAGATGTGCTGAGAAGTTCAGATGGCAGGTGGCCCCTCACCTTCAGGTCCCTGTAGACAACAAAGCGGTTGTGCATGTGCTCTAGGCCCAGGATGATCTCAGCTGCGTAGAAGCGCATGTCAGCTTCAGAGAAGACCCCGTGCTGGGAGAGGTGGTAGTGCAGGTCTCCGCCTAAAGGAGGCAGCCCCACAGGTGGCACTCAGCTTCTTGTCCCAGCCTGGCCTGGCCACCCAGGGCTGGCCCCCACTCACCATTCATGAGGTCCAGGATGAAGCTGAGCTTGTCTGGTGTGTGGAATGCATATGACATGCAAACGATGAAAGGGCAGTCCTAGGAGGAAGGGGTTGGTGAGCAGAGGCTGCCCAGGGACCCTGGCCAAAGGGTGCTTTGGGGGCCCCGCCTGGCCACCTGGCTCACCCCAGTGCTAACGAGGGAAAGCATGATGCGCTCGTTCAGGGCCAGGGTCTCCCCCTGCTTCATCTTGATGCGTTTCTTGTCCAGACACTTCATGGCATACCTGCAGTGGGGCAGGAGGGTTGACTGTGGGCAACACTTCTGCCAGGCAGGGCCCCAGGCCGCCTCAGGGGATTTATGGGGAAGACTTGATTCAGGACAAGCATGTGGCATGAGTCAGAGCTTCAGAGCAGGCAGAAGGTGCGGGCAAGTGGGGGTCTCTGAGGAGCCCACAGGAGGTAGAACAGCCCAAGCGAGACAGGCAGGATGAGCCATTCAGAGATGCAAGCCTGGGACACTGATCCCCCATACAGTTCTTCCCCACTATGTCCCAGGCCTTCAAGGCACCTCTAGGAGCCTGACCCTTCCCTCAGGCACCCCACCCATGCCAGCTGAACAGGGTGCTCACATCTTGCCCGTGTCTGCTTTCCGGCACCCATAGACCTCGCCGAAGCCCCCACGCCCGATGATGCGATGCACACTGAAGTCGTTCATGGTCAGCTGCATGGTGGCAACAGCTGGAGTCACTGCAGGCTACCTAGGCCCAGGTCTAGGGCAAAGGCACCTGGCAGCAGGGGCAGGCCTTGTGCCAGGGTCCCCTACCCTTGTGTTGTAGTCACATGCTTACCTGCCTCCAGCCTCTCCCACCAGGATACTGGCACTGACTCCCAAAGTCACCACTGTGGGGCTGAAGGCAGGGCCCTGACCTACCCCCCAGACCCAGCCGTGGCTTCCCATGGCTCCCCAGTTGCCCCAGAATTTTGTGGCCCCCAGCCCACTCACGTGGATGTTGAGCTCCACATTCTTCCACTGGCAGAACCGTGTGAACTTGTCACTGTGAAAGGAGGAGGATCCAGGCTCAGGCAAGGCTCAGAGTGGACAGAACAAGGCCAGTGTGAGCCTGCCCCACCCTCTGCCCTTCCCTAGGTCCTGGCAGGTTGGATGTGGAAACACTCTAAGCCTGTGTGGCTTGGCCTGCGTGGCCTCAGCCCCTGAGCCACAGGGTCCTGCTGAGATCAGAGGAGCTCAGAGGAGGTCTCCGACCTCCACAGACTTTGTGTTCTCACATCCTCACCCCAGCTAATTTCCAAGATGCTTGCCTCCAGAAACACAAAGCTCAGGCCCTATGAAGCCATCCTAACCCCCACACAACTGGCTAAGCAGCTGGGACCCTAAAAATACTGCTCCCTATAGCTACCTGCAATATGCCCGCACTGGCTACGTGGATCCTAGCAGGCAGTGTGCGTTCTTGTGTCCAGCCCTGCCTAGACTCTAATGCTCCTCAGCCTAAGTGGGCCTGGCAAGGTGCTGGATGGTTTACAGAAGGGAGAGATGGCAGGTGGTTCAGGGACAGGCTTTGAGTGGCCTGGCAAGAAGGGTGGGGTAGGAGAGTCCCTGTGGATAGGGCGAGGATGGGCAGCACCTGCCTGCTCAGGGCCAAAGCAGGTTGCCTTCTGTCCCTTTCTCAGAACAGGTCTTCCTTCTCCCTCCTCTCCTACTACACTGGCCCCGCACTCACCTCTCAATGAATTTCTGGAACACATCCCCTCGGAGGTTCTGACAAATCTCCTCAATGTATGGCTACAGAGGGAGACAGAAGTTGGCAACTGAGCCTCTCAGACCATGGCCGCCCAGGCTCCTGGCCCTGGGCTATGCAAGGGGGACCCTGGCTGGGTGGGACAGAGCCAACAGGTAACGGGCCTAGTGCGTACCTGAAAGAGATCTGGAGGCACCTGTTTCTTTACTAGGTGACCCTGGACATGCTCCGTGGCACTCTTCGAGAAGGGCTGGGGAGGACAGAGGCGGCCATGAATTCTCCACAGGGCCCTTTCTTCCCTTCCAACTTTGGGTCCCTTGGGGCCAGCACACAAGTGGTGGCCTGAGGACAAGATGGCCTGACACTCACATGTGAACAGGCTAGCAGCTCCTTCATGATGTAGGAGTCAAAGATCTCCCTGCTGCGGGCTACACGTTCCTCCTCCGTCTCCAGCTTCTCGTATTTCTTGATCTGGAAGGCAGGACCCACAAGTGGTCTGTGGCCATGGGTTAGGGGGCACAGAGGCCAGGTGTCTTGTGGACTCAGTGCACACTTCCCCTGCCCTCTCCCCTTTCTCTAGCACGGCAGGCTGGTCTGCCTCACCTCCTCATAAAACTCCACCAAGGGCTTAGCCTCTTCAAGATGGTTCAGGCAGAAGTCTCGGAAAAGAAGGTACCCTGAAAGCAATAGGGGTGGGTCACACTGAGCCACACGTCTTCCTCTCAGGAGCCTTCCCATCATCATAGGTAGAATGGACAGAACTGGCCAAGGCAACAGCAAATGATGCCTCTGCCCCAGGAATGAGCTGGCAATGCTGCTACCAAGACTGCCGTCAACCTGAAGATTCCTGGGTTCCAGGTTGGCACCCTGGGCTTCTACCCTCTTCCTAGAATCTGCCAATGCAGATTATGGCTGGAAATGATGGGCCCCATCTGTAGAAAGGAGGGGCTGGCTCTGGCATCAGGAGCCTTAGGTGGTAACTGGCCCTGACCCTCTGACTACAGCTCAATGCTATCCCTCTATGCAGGTGACACCATCTACCATGGGCTATCAGGTGCAGTGAGATAGTGCTGAAGCCTCCTGAAGCCCAGGTTACTTGGATGTAGAGGGAGGCAGCTCTGACGAGGGTCCCTGTTCCCCTATAACTGACTGATTCTCATAGCAGCCCTGACTGGGAGGGCAGGTCCAGCTGGAGAAATGGAGGCTCAGGCAGACCTGTCAAGACATGTGGCAGAGGCATGAATAGAACTCAGGGCCCCTCAACCCAGTGGCAGTTCCTGGGAGGGACAGGCTGAAAGTGAGGGTCTCAGAGCAGGGGGCAAGAAGGACTCTCAGGAAGCTCTGGACAGACTTCTCATCCTGCCTGGGGATGAGGACTGAGGCCAGTCCCCAGAGCAGCTGCTGGGAAACAAGGCAGCGCAAAGGGCAGCCCTACTCCTTCCTCAGGCCTACAACCCCACAAGGGTGACTAGGTTGTGCTGGGTGGCTTCCCATGCCTCTTTGAGGCACTGCCCTGGTGTCATCAATGGCTTTACTCTCAGGCCCTCATAAGGGTAGCCTTGCCTTTTATTTTATTTTGCTTAATTTAATTAATTTATTTATAGGAGATTGAACTCAGGACTCCAGTTTGCTAGGCAAGTGCTGTAACAACCCCCTAGCCCCAACTTGGCCATTTTTATTTTCTTTTTGTGCAGTACTGGGGCTTGAACTCAGGGTCTACACCTTGAGCCACTCCACCAGACCTTTTTTGTAAAGGGTTTTTTCTAGATAGGATCTCATGAACTATTTGCCCAGACTGGCTTCCAACCACGATCCTCCTGATCTCTGCCTCCTGAGTAGCTAGGATTACAGGCGCAACCCACTGGCGCCCAGCGCAACTTGGTCTTTTAAGGTGGTGTCTTCAAGTAATTTGTGAACAGATCAAAGTGCTCTTACTGGTACTGTCTCCTCTGACCCTGTCAGTCTTGGGCAATGGGCCTCATGAGTCCTATTTTCCAGTTGAAGGCAACATCAAGCTCAGAGAGGTGAGGCAATTTACCCAAGGTCACACAGTTTAGGTCTGGGATCCAAGCTGTGTGCTTCCTACCACACTGTCTCCCCAAGGTTGACCTCCATGCCCAGTCTTGCCAGGCAACCCTCAGTTCAGATCTAAGATCCTGTCCTTGAGAAGGCCATATTAGAGCCCTGCGTCGCTGCAGCTGCTTCCCTGGGACCTGTCCCAAGCCTGGTGGATGGCCTAAAACTTCCAAAGACTAGAAGCCTTAGGCATGAGCAGGAGGAAGGATGGAAGAGCTACAGAGAGAGGCAGGTTGCTCAGTGGGCCCATGGGGGCAGGGCTGGGCCAACCACAGCTCTGCAGGCGCCACAGGAAGGGCCCCGCCTCTTCCTGTCAGTTCTACCAACGGCCCAGAGCAGCTGTGGCTGAGCCAAGGGGAAGCTGCAACTCTCAAAAACAAAAACCCCAAAGGAGGAACTTCCCTGGCGGCCCAGGAAGATGGCCTGGCCCCCCGCCCCCACTACGGGGCTCCCTGGCCTGACAGCTAGGGGCTGGGAGGCATGAAGGGTCACAGCCAGACCCAGAGCAGCCCCTGCAGCCACCTGGAGGACTCTGAGAGAGAATGAGTGGACAAACCTCCTAGGAGAAGAGCACACAGCCCAACCAGCTGTGCGGGGTGGTGAGGGGTGAGAGGAAGCCAACCTCAGGGTCCTCTTTGGGGGCCCTCAGGCTGGCAGAGCCACACTGCACTTACCCAGCTTCTGGGAGAAGATCTTCTCAAAGGTCACCTCACCCCGGTCCTCCAGGTACTTCTGCATGACACTGCGAATGCTGCCGGCAGAGGGGCACAGTGAGCAGAGACCCCCAGTGCGCTCTGGCTACAGGCCCTGCTCTGCCCAGAAACCTGAGTGGAGGCACTCCTCAATTCAGGATTCAGGAAGTCATCACTCCCTCTGGGTGCCCGTCAGGCCTATTCCCTTATTCTGTCATGGGGTCACAAGAGATGGACTAGCTCCCAGGGCTAAGGTAGCCAGCAGATGGCCTCCCACTTAGAAGTGCACTCTGCATAACTTTGGTCCCAGTGATACCAGGTGCTGGCTTTGAGAACTTAGTTGAATTCCAGAAGCCATGTCTCACCCATCAGAGGATGAGCAGATACAAAATGTGACACATTCACACAGTGGCATAGTGTTTGCCCATAGAAAGGAATGGTGCACGTACTCACGCTGTGATGTGAGCGAACTTGAAAATGTTACACCAAGCAGAAGACTCACTGCTGGGCACCAGGGGCTCCCGCCTGTCATCCTAGCTACTCAGGAGATAGACATCAGGAGGATTGTGGTTCCAAGTCAGTTTGGGCAAACAGTTCATGAGACCCTATCTTGAAAAAGCCTACCACAAGGGATATGTGGTGGCTCAAGCAGTAAGAGCGCCTGCCTAGCAAGCGTGAGGCCCTGAGTTCAAACCCCAGGGACACACACACACACACACACACACACACACACACACAAAGAAGACTCACTAAGGCCACAGACTGAGGGCTGGGGGAGTGGCTCAAGTGGTAAACACCTGCCTGGCAAGCATGAGGCCTTGAGTTCAAACTCCAGTACCACAAAAAAAAAAAAAAAAAAAAGCCATAGGTTATATGGGTCCATCCTGGGACTGTCCAAAACAGGCAGAATAGTGGATGCCAGCACTGTTGGTGGGGGGACCTGCCAATAGACGTGGGGTTTTGGGGGGAGGGGGGAGGGA